TAAGAAAACAAAATTTTTCTAATAATTTTTGGGCTATCAGCTTTCTTATGGACTGGTCCGGCTGCACGTCTTACGCTCTCTTCTGCGTGACTTACGCTACTCCAACGCCCAAGGCAAAGCAACACTAATATCCAAAGATTATTATAAAATGTTGTTTTTTTATAAAACGCATTCATCTCCAGTACGCATTCATTCACATAAATAGCATAACTCATTATTTCCCTATGAACATAAATCATGGCTCTGATACCAAATCGGACACGACCGTTCATCATTTGAAATTAAACACAGATTATTGATATAATATTGAAATAGCAAGCATAATGATTAAAAGATACCTTTATTGATTAAGCAATCTTGAATACAATCGTGGCTGCTATATATATATATATATATATATATATATTATTTCATCACATGAACCAAACATAATTTTCATCTATAATATATTTCACCTCATGAAATCAAACATAATTCCGTCTATATGTTATTTCATCTCATTAAATCAAACAAAAATTATAGGTGTTCCATAAGGTGAATTATATATGTGTTCCGTAAGGTGAATCAAATACCATGTTCCATCAAGCACCATCATACACAAATTCATATTCAAACACAATCGAATCCCAAGATCTTCAACACAAACAAATTATACAAAAATACAAACTAAACTAAGCACAAATTTCATATGAACTAAATCAAGTGAAGACCGATCAGAAATCCTAACTCAAATTCAGAACTACCTTCATCCCATATCCGATTTCTTGATTCAGAGAACACCTTCTTTCTTGGTTCGAAGAACACCTCCATCCGAGATCCTATTTTGGGTTTGATTTTTTGGTTCAAAGAACACCTCCAACCACTTCTTTGTCATTCACGTTGCTGAGATCTTCGTCTCTTCGCCACTGGAGACCGTTGACAAACCCAGATCTGGAAAAAAATATTTAGGCAGGCCTACTAGGCCCATTAATATTTTTATAATGATTTAACTTTTATAATTAAAATTTACAAATAAAATTGAAAATTCTTAATATTTATCAATTCTTACTTAATTATGACTCATGATAATAACATTCTTTAAAAAATCTTAATTTTAAAAATATAATTACCTCAATTGATCAATTTCTTATTATCTTATTTAGTAATTTTCTTTGTCGATACTTCATATTTAGCGAAACAATTGTTATGTATTTACGTCAAATTTTAAGTTGGAAAAATTGTTATGTATTTTGAATTATTTTACATAACTTATGATTTTATATAAATTTTGTTTTCATAAAAATATAAAAAGATTTTTAAGTCCATTAACTCGTGGGCAAGCCTAGCCTGTTTATGGGGCGGGTATGAGTAAGATTTCAAGCCCGTAGAAACTGATTGGTTTTACCTTATTAGGCCCGTTGGACAAAAAAAAGTTAAGTCCGATCCAAATCCGCAAATGATGGACTCTACCTTGGATACATTGGTTTCACCTACAATTGTTACGATTTAGTTTAATTTGAATTTAATAAGATATATCCATTATACCCTTACAAATTGACACATTACCCTTATTTTTTGCTTTTTACAAATATGTTTTTTTCTTCAATGACCTTTGATGTATTCTAATCAACATATTAGATTAGTCCTCCAGATCTTAACCCTTTTATGGTTTTCATAAAATTTAACCTATATATATATATATAAATAATATATAACCAGAACATCACAAAAAATGAAAATCATATCATCTCATAATGAAATCAATATTGTTTCATATCAATCATATCTTTCTATATCGCCAATTTTGAAATCATATCCACCCATATCAAAACGAAAGCATGGTTACCTATCAATTAAATCGTTGCTTCTATGTGACAATTTAAAAATTACTATCTAACGTAAAGCACAGAGTCGTTGATCATAAGGTTTTTGATGTCTTGGATGAAAAGATCCAAAAATATTGAAATTTTTGGGGTTTGTAACCATGTTGAGTATATTGTTACCAATCAATAAATCTACACAAAATGTACATAGGATAACATGAAAAAATGTTCAATGATTTCTAATTACTGAAATTTCATTTAAACAAAGTAGCAACAATATTGTCAAGAAACCATTTGTGCCTTTTTGACTCTCCCTCTTTTAACACTTTTTGACAATTTAGAGTTCTACTTCGACTTGACTTGGTTTATTTCTCCTCAATATGTGTCGAAACCACGATCCTTTTTTCAAGGGATCTTTTAGAAGAGTAATTAAATGGGATCTCACACACATCATATAGTATTATAACAAAGGTTTCACTCTATGGACCTGACACTCGAGGACAACTCTATCCATCTAGCCATGTTGGAGAGGACGTGTTGAAGTCTTATAATAACTAGACTCAGATATAGAGTATTGTCAGAATCTCCCTTCTCTCTGATAATCTAGTAAAATTTCATATATTCTTGCAGAATTTGATATGTGAAAACTAGTAGTTTTCGAAGATCTAGTATTTCATGACTCACTTGTTGAATTATTTGCAAGTAAAGTAAAGTGGTATCCTCTTCATCATTTGAATAAGAGAGTTACAAGGCTCGTTTTGACCAGCTTTTTCAACCCTTTGATGTTTAGAAAAATCATTCTTTATATCCTTTTAACCCAAATTGACCAAATTATAGATATGAACGTCTCCAAAACCATATTGGCCTCAATTGAACTCTTTATGAACAAGGTAGGCTCGTAGGTGGGTCGGCTTCTATTCGACTAATAGAACATGCAATTCCCCCTTTGGCCTTAGGGCAAACACGAAATCAATTAACTACTTTTATAGAAAAAATGATTAACTTAAAGACAACAAAAACGGCCAAAAGACAAAAGCACTTGCAAGCAAGTTAAAATGAGTTGAAGTAGTCATACTGCCCTAGAACTACAATAAAGCAATAATTTTGTGTTATGTGCTGATGGATCGACTCGGTGAGTCAAAAATTGGTTCATACGGTTACATTGAATGCATTTGGTATGTAGTACAAAACGAAACAAAAAACTCAGCATCCCATATTTTGCACGACAATTAGGCTAGGACACTAGCAAGATAAAAATTCCCACCAAAATAGGTAAAAGAAAACCAAGGAGACAGACAAGATTGATAAATTACTAAACTACTAATGTCAAATTAAAACTTTCACGATTCTTTCACCTTTTTCTTTCTCTCTCTCCTCCATCCCATCCTCTTGCACTCTTTTAAGGAGGTAAAAACATCTAAAAACCGAAAAGTTAAATCATAAATGTTAAACGAAGGCCAAAAGTTACATCGCACAAGACTTGCAAGCTATCTACGTGATAAATCCCCATCTCACAATTCGCACGCCGACAGTTTCACAATTTAATTTTCCTTTCCATTACGAGTTTAGATGAACATAAGATATATCTAAACAGGAAACTACAAAGATTGAATAACTGTTAGCCATCATATGACAAAGTTAGCAAAAACCCAATGATTCACAAAACATTCTCTATTTCTACTTGGCTGAAGTTCTCGCTAGGCGCTATCACGTCATTTGACCAATATAAGATGCTTCCATTCGATGTTTACAATCCACACCCAACCTCTTCGTCTTGAAAACCAATACTATACCAAACAAACGAGCACAACATATTCCAACCGCAGGTGGGGTCTTGGGGGTATGACCTGACCTCTACCTGAATAAGTAGAACGACTGTTTATGTGAAAACCCCCTACCAGTGAAAAGCATGTGAAAGGAAGAAATACCTATATACTAAAATTGAAAAGCTAGATACAAGTAAATGATAGCAATACAAAACAATCACCCGCAAAGTGTACAAGTCGATAGTTCGACAATCACTTTTTACAAATACTAGTTTCTTCTGCCCCTTGATGTTGTTTTATCTCGTCCCTGTACATTACTTTTTAAGCCAATCAATTTAATTTCGTTGTTATATTCAATATATATATATATATATATATATATTTCTAAGTAATTTTGTATGTTAAAAATCCAAAAGACTGCCCACCACCCCCACTCAAAAGCTTATTTAGGGACCTGAGTCTTGGAACATCACTTCCTTCGAAACAAACAAAATCGCAACAGTTTGCAAACCTTAAGATAAAGCAAATTGTGCTTTCAGCATAATCTACATCAACTAGTTTTTTAATCCTAACTTCACAAAGAAAAAGGAAGACCCCATCTTACCTTTCACTAGGGAGTCAACCCACTTTCCTGAATATTTACAAGCTGTCAACCCTGCAAATTTTGCTCCAACTCTGCACAAAATGTTGGACAGATAGATATTAACATAGGATGCAATAACAGCAAATGAAGATGGCCATGACACTGAAACGCAACCCTGTACTTCTGGTGAGGTCCAATTAGTTTTTACATTCTTGAACTTTGGCATGAGTTTTTTAAGTTCTTGAAAAAAAGTTTTGACAACCATATCACTGGTTTCAGTAATGCAACGAGTCTATATCGTATCTTATTATAGAAAAGATGTGCCCTTGACCTCGAAAGTTGAATAGTTAAATGGAAGGAAAGGTAAAAAGAGGCTGACCTCCAACAAGAACACCTGAGCCCTGTGTTGCTGAAAAAACCCAAGCCCCGTGTACTGCTGCAAAAGCTCTGGCACTATACTTTACATTTCAAATATACATCATTTGAACCGGGCCCCCATCATCAACCAATAGGGCCAACACATACATCGGCTTTTTTTCAATGCAGCAACCTCGGAACCGACCCTCATTTCCATGATTCTAGTTGAGCCGAAGAGAAGAAAAGAAAAGAAAAACCCGTTATTTGACACTTTTTACAGGAGATTGTGACATATGTTCTGACACAATATCAGACTTTTTTTGTTTCATCTTTTCATTTGAGGCTTCCTTCTCTGCCTTCTTCTTCTCCGCCTCTAATAGCTTGGCATTTTCCTCATTTGCTTGATTGAACATTCTAACAAACTTCAGCAAAGTTGAAACAACTGAAATAAACCGGTCATATGGAGCAGAAGTCAAGTCCTCATAAAGGCATAAATCAATTTAAAAATTGCGAAAATCTGTTAAATTCCTTCAGCAAGAAATGTGTGCGTGTGTGTGTATCAAGCACATACACAAATTCTATGGAATCTCGGATTCATGTATCAAGCAACAACTTTAATGACTTGTGCAGGCTTCATGAGAAAATTGAAATATTTCTACTTTCTTTTGAAATGTACAGGGCTGTGTTTATATGCACAATTTGGTTCCTCCATAATAAGAAACTAATCTCTAAAAATTAGTTTATGCTGACCTAGTCCATAGTTGTGATCATAACTAAACCCCTCCTGTTCCAGTTGGGGCATATATATTTATAAGACCCAACTTGTTAGTGATCCCATCAAAACTTGGTGTGTACTATCCTCTGTTGTGTGGTTGGAACATACAGCATGCCTATCACTCCATTCTCTAGCTTTTCTTTGATGAATTGACGGTCAATTTCTAGATGTATAGTCCTGTCATGCGGGCTGGATTATTAGCAATGCTTATGATAGGGATCGGGATAAATTAGTTCAAGGGGATAAAATGTTAAAAGTTTATAAAAGGAGGGCTAAAAAGGGACAATCTGAAAGTGGCTAAGTCAGTTAGAGGAGAGAGGCTATATTGTCGGAAAGGAGGGAGCGTATGGGATAGTTTTTAGATTTCATTACGTCTTACGATTTTGGCTCTCGCTTTCTGCTGAGAGAAGGGAAGATTCCCTGGATTGTTAATTGTTCTTCTCTTTCGTTCCAATTTCAATCGAATAACCTCCTTTCCATAGTATTTTCTGTGTTAATTCCAATTGTTATTTCTATTCTCTATCATTGGTCCGACCTGCCTTGACCTGCCTCGATCATGGTTCAACCGTCAATGGAAACCCGTTCTCAATCAGCGCGTCTCGATCAACACGATGAACAGATTGCTAAAATTCAGTCTGATATCCTCGAAATCAAGGCATCAATGGATTCTGAACGAGTAGATGGAATTTCGTAAAATAATGCTTGGCTGGGTGAAACAGCAGGAGAAACAACCATTCTCACCTCCTGGCAATGCTTCTGGAATCGACAGGGTCACTCCACCACCAGCTACTCCGAGCGGTATGGATTTTATACCGCCAATGATGGGGAACGCAATTCGGCCAGGATCTGTTGAAGGATGGGCTGTGAAGAAGATCAAGTTGCCAGAATTTTCGGGTTTTGACCCACAAGGATGGATTCAAAAAGCCGAGTTGTATTTCGAAATCAATAACACTCCAATTGATTTACGTATACGACTGGCGCAATTGAGTATGACAGGGTTGTTGTCCATTGGTTCACCATTGTGAAGCAAGTATACGAATCAATTACCTGGGATCAATTAACCAACGAACTGTTGCATCGTTTTAGTGGTTTGGAAATTCACAATCCTTTTGAGATATTGGCAACCATCAAACAGGTATCCTCTATCCATGACTACATCGATGATTTTAAATATTTGCTCTCATTAGTTCCTCGGTTACCAGAGGAACAATCGTTGGGGTATTTTTTGGCTGGTTTGCGTGATGACGTCAAGCAGTGGGTCCGTTTACATCGTCCCAAATCATACCTCGAAGCTATGTATCTGGCGAAGGATGTGGAGGAGATGCTCCATCCTTCATCAGGAAGCAATTCTCAATTCCGCTTCAGGTATCATACAGGTCCTGGTCCGGGAATGAATTTTGAGGGTGGAAAGCGGGCTGCGTATGTGGGCCATTCGGAGTTAAAAGGACCTCAGGCTATATCTGCAACTACTAAACCACCAATTTCACAAGTTGATACAAAAAAATCCTTCCCTAATTATCGTTCTTCAGCTAGTGCTTCGACGGAATTTGCGAATCTGTTTAATCGAAATCGTGGGGCAGCCTTATACCAATTCCATGGTAGTTGTAGTTCCTCTAGTACTCGTCTGAGCCAAATTGCCTCACAGATTTCATTGGTATAGCCCAGAACCCTGCTTCAGCACTGCTACGAGCCATTGCATTTTGTTTTCTACTTTGCCAGGTCACTAGATTTGCCCATACAAATAAGCACTATTCACTTGTAGATCTTCAACCGATGACTGACCTGCTCAATCTGCATCAGTGGACACACGAAGCTTCTCTAGAGTAATCTGCTCCAAGAATAGTCCCCTCCAAGAGACCCGTCGAGATATCTTAGGATGCAGTAAGTTGCATTTAAAATGAACCTTATTAAGAGAGTACATATCTAGGCTGATTGAATTAACAACAGAAGAAATATTTGGCCTTGTATGAGACAAGTAGATCAACTTCTCAAGCCATCTTTGATGTGTCCTAATATCAACGTGGAATCACCTTCAATGTCACTAAGTTCTTAATTGGGTCTGCAAACATGACAGTGTAATTACAACCCATATCAGGAAGGAAATCCAGAACATATTATGTTGGCTTACCATGATTCCCTTCTTGATCTTGCAACTTCCATTCCATATCAATGATCCCAAGTCTCTAATATCAAATGCTCGGGCCAGATACCTTCCAAGTTGCCTACTACTTCATGATCATCCCCCATGACGATGATGTCATCCACATACACGAGTAAAAGAGTCATCTTCCCATCTTTCTTCCTATTAAAGAATAAGGTGTGATCAATCTAACCTCGGGATTATCCTTGTTTCACTTATCTCTTTTGTACTCCACCACCATTCCTTCTTATTCAACCACCAAGAATTGTTCAAATAAAACCACAAGGGTTAGTGGCGTAGTGGTTGAGGCCCTAGGGGATGGGTGGAATATCCCATCTGCCAAGGGTTCGATTCCAAGCGTACACAACAATTGTGGCCACTGAGTTTATCATGACTTATATCTTGCATTCACAAGTTGCTGGGATTAGTCAAGGCATAGCCTAAGGCACCCTTCCCAAAAAAAATTGCTCATGTAAGGAACCTTCCCCCGTTAGCTTGAACTGATGAAGCATTAGTCTTTTTAATTCTCCCACATCCTAATGGGTCTCCTCTTATTTTCCCACTAAAACCACAATAAGGTGTCACCCTCGAATGAAATGACAAGACTTCCAGTTTCTTTCTTCATTGTTGAGTTTAATAAGGACAAAATACATTTCAGTCTTCAATATCCACCCGCCTGCATCTGTACCGTCAGATACACATAACTCCTGCTTCCTTTCCCTGATTGCAAAGAAGTGTCATGCCTCGTTGCTTCTGTCTCCATGATCATTCATACCCAGCGGCGGTTCGATGTAATCATCTCAGTCCACTCCTCCAGTCACGTTCGTTCTCCCCGGGGCTGACCCTCACAGTTAGGAGGCCCTTTGCAAGGAACTAAAGGTGGACCTTTAACTTTTTAAATTATACTATTTTTACCACATTCCAACATCTATTTGATAATAAATCGATTGATGGGTCCTCATTGACCTGGAACAAATTGTTCATCTTTTCTAGTTGAAGACATCACATTTTATATAGAATCAATCAATCATTATGGAAAATTTCAAAAACACATATCAAACAAAACGTTTTCTACAAATTTGTCGTCGTTAAAAAACACTATCAAAAATTTATGAAGTTCCAAAGAACATATAAAAAAGGTCAACAAAAATTTAAAAGAAAATCTAAATTCCATTAAATAATCAAAGGAACTTACAGAAAGTAAATAGTAAAAATAGAAAACAGAAAAGAATTGTCGCTTTTTGGTTTAGAGGATAAATTATAAAAAGAAGTTATTAGAAACAATTATATAATTTAGTCATCAGACTATTAAAGAATAAGAAAACAAAAAATAATCAAAAAAATGCATATACTTAAGTCCCTTTAATAAACCCAAGTTAAAAATTAAAACCCCAAATTAAAATCAGAACATATAAGAAGATTTGCCTAAGGAATTTGAACCCAGGTCGAATGGCCCTTCCCCGGGATTTCTAAACCCCTTCCTCGGGATTTCTAAACCCCTTCCCCACTCCATTACATATTAACTTGTTTTATTTAATGTACTAATTAATTTATATACTAATTTTATTTTAAATAAAAAATTTTGAAAAAATCGGAGCCCCTGGCGATCAGAGGCCTTGTGCGGCGGCACCACCGGCACACCACCAGGGCCGGCCCGGATCTCCTCAATGTGTCTTCCTGCAACTGGAACATCGTTCCCTTTGCTTCATCACCTTTTTCATATCCTCTTTCATCGAATTAACCTCCAATTGAACAATTCCCAAGCTTCCTTCCATCTCATTCACCCTTGACCCTACTAGCAGAGTAATGTTTGCGCCCTAAACCGGGCTCTGACTCCAATTTGATGCCAACCAAAAGAAAAGAACAGAAAAATCACAGCTTTAGAGAGGCTAGGAATCTCTACCCTCGACTTATTGAGAATGGAACTTTACAATCAATTCAAATCTCTCTCATCCACTAATGCTTCCTTATTTATCATCCCAAAGGAAGCTCCCTCAACAGCCCCTTAACCGACTTCCAACAACCTAATTCCTGAACTAACTTTGAGCCCACTACCAAACTTCTCTATTTACCTTATTCCCTTCCTCACCTGACTACTAGTCTGCCCTTCCCTCTTCTCTTCTTGCATACATTCCAGTAACTTTGGGTCTAACAGTAAACAGAAGTAACAACTTTATTTACGTTTAATTCCCAAACTAGGAGACTAGGCAAGACTAAAAAACTATATGTGATTCCCAAACTGGGAGACGAGACAAGACTAAAAGACTACATGTGATGTGAAGGTGTGAAGAAGAATATGAACTTAAATTTAAGAACAAACTCAAGAACAAGAGGATATAGCATAAACATGACATTACATGAACATCCAAATCCAACAAACATCAAACACTTGTTTATAACCACACTTATTTAAAATACTAAAGGAAACCAAGTTTTCCCTAATTCCTGGTACATGAACATCCTTAAGATTAAGGGTCTTCCCATAACTAAATTCTATGCGTCCACCACTTGTATCTTCTTTTTTCTTCTTTTTTGGTCAGGAAGTGATAAAGGAAAAATGAAGAAAAAAGAAGATACAAGTGGTGGAAGCATAGAAGACTCTACAAGATTGTAACCATCTAGATTTCTTAGAAGATTTAGTAATTACCTTACCAACCATATTACTCCGGGAGATTAAAAAAGTAAGGTTTCGCATATAGATGGCATATAAGAACGGATAGGATATAGCTATCAACATTTGAAAAATGATAATGTAATTACCTTGCTCATATGGGCAACGGGCTGGATCCTCGCCGAAGTAAAGAATTAAAGCATCCACATTTTTACCCTATAAAATGGCATGCCCTTGAAACAACGTTGAAGAAGCATAGGTGCCTTTGCTTATACATGTAAAATCCTTAAACCACCTATTGTATATCTAAAAGGAAAATATGAGACATACCACGATAGTATACAAAGAGGCCAAGGACCTTGCTTCACCTTCTGCCGAACGAAGGAAGTCCTTCAGAGCCTAGGCAATAAAACCAAAATATTCCAGTTAAGTACCAATACAAACAAATTTATTGAAGAAAATGTTACGCTACAGAATCTACCATTGCTTTTACCATTGTAATTCCAAAACTTCCTCTTACAAACTTAATATCTAATATGTAACTCAAGGCTTTTGAGCTTCATTCTCCAAAGTACAAACGGTTACTATAATAGCTAGACAAGCACCCTTGTCAAGCCGATATTCTTACCTTTCGGAAATTTTCAGACACGGGTCCATCATTTTCGGACAATGACAATTCCTGGACAACTTTCTCTAATCCTTTGCTAATAGCTTGCATTTCCTCTGCCAAGAATTTCAGTTGCATCTGGACAGAAATAATCAACTATAATCAAACATAGAATAAAACCAACATGACTTCCTTTCTAGAACATGTGAAAAATCCACCTAGATTACCTTTGATGCAGGTTCTAAACTGTCAAGATCCTTGGAAAAATCAAGGACTTCAGGTAGTTTGTCAGCAAGCACCTAGAGGCATCCAGCAGAGTCAGCATGAACAAAGGTCGAAACAAGTACAGTATTCTCCACATAATTAAATGAAAAGTTGAGTGGCCTAGTCAGCTTAATTGACATGAACCTAGAGGACCCCTAATGTTACGAGCATAGCATGCTAATTTGAAAGAAGACATGGCTTTGGCAACCGCAAGGTGAGGGTAAGGTGCAGAGTGGTCGACTGTTTGAACCTATGACTTCATTACTCAAATGAACAGCCCAGTCTGTATCTTCCAACCTATGACTTCATTACTCAAAGTCCAGATTTTCCAAGCTCAGGCATATAAAAAACAGAGCAGTACATGAAATATTCTCAGTTATGTTTTACCGGTGATACTGATCTCTAACAGGATCATATGAAATGCTTACTAGATCATTTTAATGGTGCATGCAGAAATTCAGTAGTACCAACTGCTCTATGAAATAGAGTAATTGGAGAGAGAACCAACAATCTAAACCATGTTTCAACATCTCCACTATGTGAATACGAGTAACATATAGATATAAGATACCACCTATGCTCAAGCCAATCAGAATAGTCTTGGATATGGGAAAGAAAAAAGCTCTCCATGTTGGATTGCTAAATGCTCAAAAACCTTGAGCTCTTAGAAAGCAGGCCTAATAAAGCAAATGATGCTGGATAATAATGTACTATACACAAATACAAGGACAGAGCATCCTATCAAGTAAAAGTTTGTCAACTCTTCCCTATTTTGGACCATAGTTTTTCCCATTTTATCTATAAAGTGAATGAGAACTGTAACCATCATGCTCGCACTTTCATTGCAAAACCACCATTGTATTTGCTAAAATTCATAAGGAAAAGAAATTGAAAACCACATGGTTTTCCCAATTTTGCAATTTCTTTCAAATATCCAGGATCTAATTTTTTAACTCAACCTGAACTTGACATTTCTCCAACTATCGTACTTGGCTTTTCAATTGTTGAACAACCATCATACTTTCAGATATGCAAAAAAAAATGACTGCATTTTTTACCCAAAGAAGAAACCACCTCATTGATATTAATACCATCAATAGACTTCATGTATATGATATCAAAAATTCACAACAGCAATACTTGTAGATATGATATATCTCATACAACTTTTTGACACACATAGGTATGAAGGATGAAAATGTTGGATATACAAACATATCAGATAGATTCTTCCTTTTCTTATTTCTTATGCATTTATTTATTTGATAAGTCCATAGAGGTACACTTCCGCCAAATTTATACCCAATCTTAACTTAAAAAATACACCCTCGGTGCCAAAATAAATACATCGCTTGATTTGACACATAGCTCAACGAGACAACTTGACTATTGGTCAAATATCTAAAATGTTGCTTGGACAAATGGAAAAAAAAAAAACTTGTGGGCAATGTTAATGATAACAATATAGTGATTACTAATTGAAAGAAAATGAATTTGGATTAATAATTTACCCAAGAAGAAACGTGGCCTTTTCTAGGACAACCAAAAAGCAAACCATTGCACTTAGTTTAGATGGATGGAGTAGTTATTTTGAAGAAAATGATTCCAAAGAAGAAATTAAGCAAAAGTCACATGTGATTCAAGTACCATGGACATGTGATGAGAAACATCTGTTAACAAACTAAAGCATTTCGGTACATTTACGATATAACTGCTAATTAGATCGTAATAAACGTTGAGTTTCTGTTCATCTTCATGCACTCGTGCCAAATACAATATTCTTTTGCATTTTCTAAATATATATTGGGTGTTCAATAATTGAAAACCAATAACAATGGTTGAAAATGTAAGGTTAGAAGTGCCCAGGTACAAGTTGCATTAAAAAAATTAACCTTGATCAGACTTTGGACAAAACAGCAAGATCGGGAAAACTATAGTTTTTTTTTTGCTTCTTAGCAAGTATGATGGTTGTTTTACAAGGAAAGGGCAAGTACAATTATTAAAGTTCTTATTCACTCAACCTGGCATTGGTAAGACACACAGATCTGAAAAAACAAATATAACGAATAAAAATTTGGATACAAGAAAATGAAAATCTCCAGTTCAGAAAACGGAAAACTGATTTCAACTTGTTCCAAGCCTCAACCAAACAAATTTCCTCAGTTATATGGCTAAAGCCCTAAAGGAGCGTCCACATGAGATGCATTTAAGACCTGTCTACCATTTTGTCTCACTCTCACCATATTCTATAACAGTACCTTCACATGAATTATTTCTTGCCATCATACCAAGAAGTTCACACCACCTAGTTTTCAACAGCACATCAGTTTCTCTTGGCCTAATAAGGAGATTGCAGCTAGCCTGTTTACCGGATCATTTTATTGTACATACTTAGAGACTCAAACTACCTTCATTAGGCTTTCATGCTCCTGTCTTAGCATTATCATTCTTTCAGCTGCACATTCGATGTGCATGTTCTCATTGAGCCAAGTTATACCATAGTCTGCCTACAAGTTGTGTGCAATGGTCCTTCAGAATACCTGATCCACATCGTCCAAAAACCATCTAATCTCTACTTGCATCTACCACCAAGTCAAAAGTTGCTATGTCACCCATGGATGAATGGTTTCACCAGATACCATGACTGTATTTAACATACACATGAGTGTCACTAAAGTGGGTGTGGCTCTTCCCTATGATACTATACATACACCTTCCTGATGTCTTACGCAGTCCTTGTTTGGGTTAGCATTTGTAGTGAACCGCATATCACTAGCAGATGAAAAGTTTTCATCATATAACTTCTTAATCTACAAGATCAAAACATCCCCGTTAGCCTTCTCACTCTTTCAATGTTTTTGGCTCACCTTTTTTGTTGAACAATTAACATACATTTCCAGATAAGCTGGTTAACTATACATAAAGTTACTTATAAAATGAAAAAAGAGATTCACTAGTGGAAGATCGTTCAACAAGTTGAAAGGTAATCATCCCAAGGAAGCAATGTTACACATACACCTAATAAGTGGCATTCAAGAAGCATCTACTTCGTGAAGAGAGAGAAAAACATGAAATACATACACATAAAAATTAAAGAAAACATGATGCATTCATACAAACAATAGATGGCACCAACTTTATGTTATAGCCAAAAAAAGATCAACATTACTATAATTGTCATGACCACCCGAACTCTGTCCCAGGTATTCACAGAACGTGAGAAGCAGATGATTAATCATCTGCTTCCGGAAGAAATAGCTTAAGACAAGAATATACTTGAAACTAAAACTGGAGAACAATCCTTTGATTTAAAGGAAAAGAAATGAATACCTTACAAAGATAATGCATGAGAGTCATTCTATTGTTCTTTGCACGTGTCTCTGTAAGTTTCAGAAGGCTATCCAACCTGAACCCAACAGCAGAACCTATAACAAGACCAAGTTCATTTTTCTGGAAGTCCAAAAACAAAGACCTTAGGTACTTACAACCACAATAATAGCCAAACTTGAGCATCAAAGAGGATTAGTTAGACTGACTAGAAACAAATATATGTTACCAACTTAATAAACATAGATCACCTAGTTGTCTTAACCATGCTACTGAATTTTGCCCATAGAACAAGTCATATTAAATAATCGTCATCTACACTAAATGCAGTTGCTAGGGTTAAAGACACTTACATAATCATTATCATCTCCAGAGCTTAATATTGTTTTGTGAAGTCAATCATATATCAAAAGGCAAGCTTCAATGGCAGTGACAGACAAAACTATAAACAAGATTCAGACACATGATAGAACTGCATGACAGTGTTCAGGGTTTGAAGTTATAATTGCCAAACATTAATAGGCATCTTGGCTGCTTCATTAATTCTGTGATGCAAAAGAGCCAAAATAAGAAGGGAATTTCATATCAAATTCATTTGACAAGTACATTCAAGAAACAGGGGAAAACCCCCAGATCTCATAAATTATTAGGCAATCCTCTTATAATAACATAATAACAATAATATTTAATTAATAAAAGCTGAAAATGACTGTTGGTTACCACTCTGTACACAATGGTGAAAGATCCAACAAACTTAACAACTCAGCTAATAACTCACCCCTTGCAGTGCCCTGGTTCAAGGCATTTCCCAGAGAAAGAATTGTTTGCATAATTCTCTTCAATTTGCCAGAACTCCTGGTCTGATAGAAGCACCATCAACATACACGAGACATAAGTTTCAATGAATAATATTGTCACTAATTAACTGCAGAGTCGACGTAACAGGAAGATAACTTGCCTGTTCTACTGCCGAGTTTACAATGTTTAGGCTCTTCCTAAGATCAGAAACCTAAATGGCAACAAAACTTGAGCGTTAAATCCAAATCCAGACCTATAACAAGCAGATAATGCATGACATAATATCATCTGACCTGTGCATTGAACTGTAACTTAAAAGAGAAAACTCTGAGCTTAGACTCTGTACGTGGAACTTTCATTAGCTCCAAGAAGAACTGTTGCAAATAATACAAAATGCAATCAAATTGATTCAGATCGTGACATATTTCAAACTCAACTTGTCCCAGCCCCATTGTCATACTAAAGTAACAAGCAGAATTGTATTACAAACCTGTTCACATTTTCCCAATTTATCCTTCTCTCCTTTGTAACCCTAAGCACAGAAACTGTTACTATGAATAAAAGTTCTCAGTGCATCATTCTACATGAAAGGGACCATAAACATCTAAAGGAAAAACAAAATAAGAGATACAAAAAATAAGAGATACAAACTAAACATGATCTGGGCCATGCGTAACCTAGCTGCAAAATAGCATAAACTTGAAGAAAGATCTTACTTTTGGAGTTAATCGTTAAAATTTTAATATTTTAATTGCTGCAACTTAAATCTTGATGCACATAAACCATTTAACATTCTTATGTTCACCAACATGTTTTCATGGGCGTGACAAATCAAAAGGACCCCGCTTCCTCACTCATGGCAGGAGTCGCATGCTATTCTCAGAACATAATTTCCACACTTCAGTCATTTAGTTAATTATAGAAACTTTAAGGTTGAAATTTTCATATTCTTGAAACAAGTAAGAACTAGAAGTGTTTAAAGCTTCCTTGATAACAGATCATGTGCAATGCACTAGCATCTTCCTGTAAGTTTTTTAGCCGTTCTTTAGCAATTGAATGAACATCGCAACAGCATCAAGCATCAAACACTAATTTCAACAAACATCACTCGAAAATCAGTGTTTCGACTTCCATTTAACCTTTTAAACAACCCAACTAGCATTTTACCTTTAGCGTCTCCAATTCCTCCTTTGTCGGACAAAACTTTATGAGATTGTCCACTTGATCCGCATCCATGGCTGAGTCTTCTAAAGCAAGGACATGATCCTGTCAATTTCAGAAACAAAGGACTATCAGAAGACCATTAGACAACTAAATTACAAATTATTAACACCTATACAGATTCTGAAGAATCTGCACATATCCATCCAGCCACTTTAGAATACATTGTGTCATAAATTCTATACCTAACATATAAATTCTAAAAACATTTATATACAGGGCCGTCCCTGGAGGAGGGCGGCACGGGCGCACGCCCAGGGCCCAAAAATATCAAGGGCCCAAATTTTTCTCTTAAAATATAACAGTAGTCTAAAAGAATGTAATAAATTAAAGAAATCCAAAAAATTGTAGCATATAATAAGAAGTAAAAAGAATTTAGTAGATAATAAGGGCTCAAAAATATATCAACTAATTATATTGGAGAAGAAAATAATGAAAAATTAATTGATCATTCATTATGTGCTATTGTTTATTGTCTCTCTAATTTTTTTTTTATCTACTAGATGTATTTAGTAATGTCCCTTATACATGTCAAAAAAGAAGGAAAATATAATTTAGATATTTTCATCAATTCTTTGACTTATGTATCTTTCATTGAGAATCCACCACAACACAAGATTCTATTTAAGTGCTCAAACAATCATTTGTTGAGCTTGCATATTATATGTTTAATTTATTATTTATTCTTATTGGATCTCATTGGATCATCTTTTCTTTCATATTCTTATTGATCCTCATTTGTCTATTTGTCTAGAAAACCTTGATAATCTTCTTTATTATTGATCTCTCATTGACCTTCAATATTACTTCATTCACACGAATTCTCTTTTTGTATCAAAATAACACATATTTCTTGTTATGAACTAAAAAAATTACTTTTTAAAAATTTATCAACTATAGTTTCTATACTCTTGGTTTCAAATTACCTACTAAGACAAACGTAAATAAAAATAAATAAGATTTTTTTCCTTAGTAAATTATTAACATTTCTTGTACTCAATTTTATACTAATGAAAAACATGTATTGAATTTTTTCGTACTTAATGAGGGTCACTACAAGAAAAGTGAGCTTCGGCGATGTGCCTTTTAGCGATGACATGTTTCCGCCACCAGTTATAGCAACAATATGTTGTTATATACTCTTTCTGATGATAAATGGACTTTTAGCGACAACAAAATTCATTGCTAAAAGCCTTGTTTCTTGTAGTGGACCCTGTTTTTACGTTTGCCCAGGGCCTTTAAAATGTCAGGAACGGGCCTGTTTATATACATATATACACGGTCTTGCATATAGATTGGAGAAGCACCACCTTGCTAACCAGCATAAACTACCTCCTTTTACAAAACAAAAGCATGTTACTTAAAAAGAAACAAGGGTTTGCTTGGGACATGATGATATGCAGCATCTTGCAGCATGCAGAACTGATTAACTAGAATGATTATGCAAATAATATGGTGATGTCATTGAGGCAGTGGACAATTTTTGAAGAAGGATCTCTTAAGTGGATCTACACACTTGTGGAAATTCAAAACTAAAAATAACCATGTGTTATCATCTTATAGTCACAAATTACGGAAGTAATTGGCGAATGGTTCTCTCCATCTTTCCCTCTAACACACATTAATGTCTTCAGTTCTAAACCCATCTCCTAGGAATTTGAACCAATAACCTGCTGAATAAAATTATGAGCCAAAGACCTACTATTCTCAACACATTGATGGCTTTGATTCTTGACCCGCATCACCCATCCAGGCATATTGAAATTTAGTACTTCAGAATATCTCAAGTTTATTGTAGATCAAAGGGCTCCTCTTTTTCATCAACCTCGAACGAGACTACAACTTGCTGAAAGTGATGCAACATTAAACATTCCTCCCCTTGGCTGAATTTTTGTTTACAACTTCCTTTTGTTCTCACAAGGTTCTGCTAAATGGATTCCTATGGTTTCCACTTCATGAAAACGTAACTATTTGTTCCAAAGAAAGATTGTGAAGATAAAATGGAACTCTCCATCAGTTCACAAATATACCTATGTTTGTGCATGTATTACTTGTTCCAGCTTGGCAATTATCATTTTTTTGAATCAATTTACTAATATGAGGATTTTCACTAGGCTAATAAACAAGAATTCAATATGCAGGTACAAGAGGGTGTATGTGTGTCTTCAAAGATGTAAATTGGGGTTAGCACAGACAAATGGATATAACGTGACCAACTTCGGATTGCTTTTGTTAGGCTGACCACTTGCCAGTTCTTTGTGTATTTGTAGTTAGAACACCAATAATATAACTAAAAGATAAATAGTTGGCCTTACCATCAATTCATTCAATGGTATTTTGACCTTTGAAAGCATGATTTCACAGTTATATGCCCTCCTGTGATCAATCTGCAAGAAATGCAAATAAATTAATTTATGTACAAACAATTTCAAGCTCATTCCATTCGCAGCTCCATCTCGACCCAAAATCCCAAAGAACTATGCTTCTAATAGACAACAAGAATGTTAACAATCAACTTTATTGAGATCACAGATAAGTCTGATTAAGCAGTTCCACAAAGAAGCAGATGAAAAGCGATTTGTCAACCTCAACCAGTAGAATAGTCAGGAATGCATTAAAAATTTTAATTATTCATGAATATGATGAAGGTGTGATGATATTTTACCAGTTGTACTTTCTCAGGTTTATTAGCTACCGCTGCTTTAGATTTTGATTTTTCAGCCTCTGCTTTTGGGTTTGATGCTGAGAAGAGAGACTCAAGTTCTGATATATCAATCTCTGGCGCCCTAATGTGCATGAACCATAAGAAAAACGAGAAAATCAAGAAATGCTTAGTGGAAGACATCATCCTCTTTCAAGAGAGAGAAACTTACTTTGCAGCTTCACCAGATTTTGGTGTCTCGGCCCACAAGCTTCCTTGTACTGCTCGTGTTAGCTTTAACCAATGCAAAGGCTTCAGCTTCGTGGATTGTTGATTTTTCGAATTACCTATCCTTGACAAACTACGGCCCTTGACTAAAGGTGGTGGAGGAGAAGGAACTCCAGAAACATTGGCTGCTCTGGGTATAGATGGTGGTGGGGGCGGGATAACACCTGCCGCATTTCCATTAGCAGAAAACATTGGCGGAGGCGGAGGCGGCGGTGGTGGACCTGAAGAAATCTGTGATGCAGTGTCAAGATGCAGGGATGAGGAATTAGGAGCTGGGGGAGGTGGTAGTGGTGGTGAGGGAACTGGTGATGCAACTCTTTTATCCCTTACAGGAGGAGGTGGAGGAGGAGGTGGGGGTGGTGGAGAGGGATCAGCTCTCGTAACAGGCCTGTCTTTCACAGATGCTGTTGGTGCTGCTGAAGTTGTTTCAGTTCTAACAGCTTGATCCTCTCTAAAAGATGTTGAAGGAAGAAGAGGGGCTTGGGGAGGTCCGCTCCTGGTACGGTTGTCATTCACTAAAGATGAAGCTGGTGCAGATGGCTGGGGATGAGATGTGGTTTGAGAAGGTTCAAGTACGGTACCTCTTTTGTCCTTCAAAGGAGGAGTTTGAGGGTCCGTTGGAGGAGAAGTTAAGGATTGAGAAGGCTCAACCTTAGCATCTGTTTTGTCCTTTTTTAATGGGCTAGGATGGAGGATGGAGGGGGGGAATGGAGACCCAGTTACATTACATGTTGAAGGAGATCGTGCAGGTTCAAGTACAGAACCTCTTTTCTCCTTCAAAGGAGGAGTCGTAGTAGAAGGCCGAAGTTGAGAAGGGTCAACCTTAGTATCCTCGGTGTCCTTTAATGATGGGCTAGGTTTAACCTTAACATCTGTAACTTCCTGGGATGGTTGACTAGAAGGAAGAGATGGTGGACTTGAAGCGCTTGGACGTGGTGAAGTAGGAGTTGGCATAGGAGGTTTAGTTCCAGACACTAGTGAAGAAGCTGATTTTTGGTCAGTTGCGACAAGGGGAGATGATGAAGGTTCTTGGTGCAAAGCAGATGTCTTCTCAACTGGAAGTGAAGGTGACAGTGGTGGTGATGACAGTGATTCTGGTGGAAGTGGTGGTACTAGCTTCTGTTTTTCCACATCACGTCTTTGGCCATCAACCTTAAGACCACCAGCATCAGGAGATGAGGGTTCCTCCATAACCATATATGAGGTGCTCTTTGGCTTATTTTTGAATGATGTGGTGCTTTCTTTATCCTGGTATGCATCAGGAGTCTGCGAATGAAGTAAATTTCTAGCTTCAACAGACCGTCGAGAACCGGTCTCCACTTTTTCTTGAACAATATCAGACGCAGCTAACTGATGGAGAACATTTAGCGCAATATCACTTTTAGGAGCTAGCCAATCCACACTGCTAAACATCTCTTGAACTTTAGCAAATGCTTCTATAGGGAGACCCTCTTCCTCAAAACAAGCCAAATCTACTGGAATTGTAGAAGCTGCAGCGTCCATGTCGGAGAAAAGAAGCTTCATCCAAAGATATTTGTTACATATACATATGGGGAATGTAAATGAACACATACATATGTGTAGGTATAACAAACATGAAGGCTTCCTTGGGGAGGTATAGTGCAAAAAATTATGTCTATGGGCTGAAGCAATGTCATGAAACATACCTCAGCCCTGAAGTCCTCGAGAAATAGTTCCTTAGCATCCCATAGTATGTCGATTTCATCACGATTGAGCATCAAAATATTTGACCTGATAAATGCTGTGTTGAACACAGCACGATACATCACCTTTTCATGATCCAGATCATCATGTAAGCTGATACACTCCAGCACAATGTCACCTTGAACATGACAATTGATATCAATTTTAACCAGTTCAGATTCTGCCTGCAACATGTAGTAAGAGGTAACAACAAATGAAGATTCCAAAGGTAAGCATTGATTTTGCATAAAAGCAAGAAATAGTTTCTTTCAGCTTAAAATTAAAAAGAACAAAGACTGGCCAAATACATGTACGAGGCATTCAGAGTAACATGTCGCAAGATGAGACATCAAAATGATTGAAATTATGCTAAGCCCATTTAGAAATAGGCTGTAGGCTACATAATCAATTTCTTCACATTATTTTCTTTTAAATATATAGAAGTAAATGCTTTAGAGTTTTTAAGGAGTGTTCCATTAGCAACTTGACATAATTTCAAAATATGAAACAGCGTTGATAGATGGAGAATTAGCATAAACACACAGACCTCCTCAAACCCCACAGTGCAGTGGCCTCGTCCTCACATATTGGTGGACATTCTGGTCAGGTTTTTTTAAAGACGTTATGGTCATGACGTTGAACTACCGACACATGCATGTCAGATTGTATTAGTTCACAATACGCAATTCCTCACATCATGTTTTTAATATGAGTTGTTTGTTCTTCAACTTTTACCAAAACAACATGATGTTACAACTTCGGCCTAAAGTGCAACAATCAAAATTGACAAACAGCACTATTGCATGGAAGCTGATAACGGGTAGTGTAACACCCTAGTTTCATATTTGTTAATTACAATGTTTTAAGCCTTAAATACAAATATTATGAGGAATTTAAGTACTCTAATAACGTGCCAGCAGCTGTACCATCTATTAAATTATCATATATTCAAGGCAAGTAGCTTACAAGGCAAAGCATGAGAAATCAAACCTGAAGTGATGAGTAGTAAGTGTTAAAAGTATGTGTTCGCAAGCTATTTGATGACTAAGCAAGTCTACTAAGCATAGCAAGGCAAGCTAGTTATGAGTTGTCAAGGCTAGAAGCATGTGTTGGCAAAATTCATGATGACAAGCAAGAGCTAGAAGCATGACGAAAAAGCTAGAAGCATGATGTTTCAAGATTCCTTTATATTAAGCATGAGGTGCCAAGATTCTCTTATCCTCAAAGATGAGGTGTTAAACTCTCATAAGAGAGTACAATTTTGGGAGCAAGAAGAACAAGTAGCTAATCGAATTCAGGGTTGAAGTGTTACTATTAGTTCCATACCAGAAATAAGAAATCTCTCTCCTTATACATAATCAAGCTTGAAGAAAGGAATTGGGAAAAGCTAGGCATAATCAAGGTGAATACTTATGAGATTTATGAGGTACATACATGATATATAAAGGTATTTTATGCATTACACGATACTTTGGCATCTTTCCCTTACATGAAAAAGTTATGCATATTCAAGATATGCTTACAAGTACGTGTTTTACACACAAGGCATGAAAGTGTTTACATGTTATGATAAAGTATGTGTTAGACAAAGCATGAAAGCTTTTACATGATATGTATGACCACAGATATCCAACGTATAGGATATTACAAGAAGGGACGTCTTGCAAACGGACCCAAGGGTCTGCAAACCTCAAGAAGTATGCACACTTACATGTTTAAACTTTCAGGTCTTGTGTAACACATACTTATCATAACATGTAAACACTTTCATGCCTTGTGTGTAAAAGGTATACTTGTAAGCATATCTTGAATATGCATAACATTTTCATGTAAGGCAAACATGCCAAGGTATCGTGTAATGCATAAAATACCTTTATATATCATGTATGTACCTCATAAATCTCAAAAGTACTCATCTTGATTATGCCTAGCTTTTCCCTTAATTCCTTTCTTCTCTGTTATATCGTGATATATCGGCGATATATCGGTCTCTAGAAAAATATCGTTGGTGAAATATCGGTCAAAATATGGGTTCCGATAATATCGCCGATATTTACCGATATTTTGATGGAAAAATCGGTCCGATATACCAATTTTCTATAAGGCAAATGTTTGGGTTTTTTTTATTACATGTTGGGCTTAGTTTTTTGGACCTCTTTATTTGGTCAACCAGTCAACACATATATTAGGTCTCACGCTTCTTCTCTTCTCAGTTCTTTCACAGTTCACGTTTCTTCTCTTTTTGGTCCTATTTTGTTTTGTGAGACTTGTTTATGTGATGTTTTAATTTTGAAACTATATTTCTAAACTCTAATTAATGCATATGATATGTTTATGGATGCATACATAATATATATATATATATATATAATTCTAAGAAATATTATATTAATCGCTATTTTGGACCGATATAACCGAAATATCGAATATCGGTCCTAACCGATATTTTGTATTTTG